TGGTTTTCCCCAAAAATTTCTCAGAGAGGGAAGAGCCGGCAGTGTAGTGTGAGAGGGGGAGGGAGTTGAGTCCATTATTTGAATGGACATTAACTTGGCGACTGTATTTCTCTATTTCTCTTAAGTATTAATTGTGTGCATGTACCATCATAAAATTAAGATGTTATTTTTACTACAACATAGTTATGTGTCTTCAAAAAGTGGAGTTTGGGGGTCGGGCCGGTTTCTATTGGAATTAATCCCATATGTTCTGTTGTTCACTTAACGCGGATTTCACTTAACACGGGACCCTCTGGGTTCTATTGACCGCGTTAAGTGGGGTACAACTGTACTAAGTTCAGGATACGCTGTCACCACCCAGATTTGTAACCACATTATACTGTACTATCGTATCAATCTTCTAAACACTCTGGCGCTCATTTGTTTGTGAGATATAAAATTTGGGCAAAAAAAATCATTGTCCAGTACATCTCAGAAAATGGCATTTTAAGAGATGTAAATATTTTAGCCAAACAACTTTTTTGGGGGCGCACTTCCCATTACAGTGGCAGTTTGAGGGATGACTTTTTTATTTGTAAAGTACCTTTTTCTATTTTTGTTTTTTAAATTTAGAACCCAAATAAATTTTGTTTAGTTACATACACACGGAATCTTACATGCATAAAGTGCAAAAAAATAATAAAATAAAAATGCTGGTAATTATCATAAGGTATAAGTATTTTTAACTCATAATTTCGGGTAGAGATATGTTATTTTCTTCATTTTTTTTACTCGGTTACATACACACAAAATCCTACAAACAAAATTTGCAAAAATAAATAAAATAAATAATTATTACAATGCATAAAATTTTGTGTCTATGGGCTTCCATCGTCAAAGTGGAAGTTAGGGTCCATCCTTTTAATATGGTATCAATGGGATACAGATATGTCTAAAAAAACTATCCTACACTAATTAAATATATACAAAATTAATAACACTTACCACATTAATAACAAGCTTGCCGCTTAACAATGTGTAACTTTGTCTCCAGGAAGAGTATTTTTCAAAGCCTCGGCTTTCCCAGAGGCAGGATAATCAGCAGGATGCGTGCTAGCTATTTTCAAACTTATTACATTATTCACTTCACAATCAACAAAACAGCAAAATCTGAATAACATTTTCCCTCTTACCAATAACGGCAAATATCACAGTGATCTCAAGGTTAAGCAACAATAAATAACAATAACCTTGGTTACACTAGCAAGGGCAGGTGCAATCACGGAACAAAGTGTGGAACTGTGGTCAGTGTGGTATGTGGGGTGGCTGTGAGGCAGCATGAAGGTAGGTAATGCTGCACAGAGGATGGAAAAGCAGTTTCTGAGCATAGCGGCCATCTTGGGTTTGATAAGTGAAGGGAGTGATACACTTCCTCATTTTTTACATTCTGTATCAGCGAGTTTAGTCTCCCGACAGCTACCCTTAACATGGAATTTGCCTAATGTAAACCGTTAAGAGGATGTTAAACCTAACTAATGTTAAAACAAATTATCATAAATAGAGGGACACTTGAAGAGGTATCCTCCTATTTACGATGGGGGTTAGGTTCCTGAAATATCGTAAATTGGGATCATTATAACATGGGATACATTCTCAGCCAGTTGGACACCCATGGGTATCACCGAAAAAGAAAATCCTAAATTAATAATATACTACCTACAACACAATTAAACAACACACATCTTCCAGGCTAAGGAGACTCTTAAAGGTGGGGTGGAGATGTCACTAACTCCCACACAACCTCTGGGGAGTCTCATGCTGCTTCACAATGTCAAGTTTCACCTCCAGAGACATTTTCAAAGTTACACTGCTCATTTCACACTCACAAAACAGAGTCATAAAAACAAAGCTGACGATGATAATGTTATTATGTTTTACACTGCTCACATCATGTTCACAACAACAGAGGCAAAGAACTTTACAATCGCAAAAACATAGCAAAAATCACTTCAGTCAACATAACAGAATGCAATGTGAATGTTAGTGATATCCTTTCACTGTAAGGTAGAAAAAAAAACATCTATGATAAGTAACAACACAGATAATCATTAACTTACATGACCACGGCTATGTGCGATCATCATGGTACAATGCTTGGTACTGTAGTGCAGTGGGTGGCCATGTAGCAGCACTCAAGTAGACCGCAGCTGACAAGTGAACCGAGAGATGTGTCCACGTTGGCCAGACAATGACCATTGTTCATGTGGATTGTCTACATCGTAAATAGGTGGGTGGTCTTAATACATCACCATGTACCTCATTTCTATGCTTCCACAGCTTTAGTGGAAGTGGAGTCGTTATTGCGTATCCCATGGTTCACTAAATTATTATTGTTCTTTTCCTAGTCTCAGACTGATTAATAGATTTTCTGCTTCTACTGTTTAGTTACAGAATACAGGTATGCCATTACTAGTAACCATAAAATAATTCTGCAATTCCAAGCTAGGAATTTTAATTAGCAGAGGCATTATCTGACTGGCTACTATTAATGGCTGCCTCATTTAGTAGATCTTAAAAGAATTAAATGACAAGGTTAAATTACTTTTCTACTTAAAATTAGTATATGATGGGGAAGGGAGCATATTGCCTGTTGGGGGCTTTATGTATGGTACACTTATTCTCAGTCTGGAAATACTGTATAGTACTGGTAATACAACCTTGCATTCACTTACCAAGAGAGAGAGAAAATAAAAGAGCACAAGACTCAAGCATTAGAACTTGTGTGGCTATTACAGAGACGATAAAAAAATCGCAATCTCGAATATTTATAATGAACCTGGACATCTTGGTTATGTGTGAAATAAAATTGATGTAAAAGAGATCTTAGATGTGGGGGGATGGACACAAGGATGCATCATTGTGTGTGTGTGTGTGTGTGATCAGCGAGCTTGGCATTTTTTTGGGGGGGAGGGGGGGGGGTTGGAATGAATGTGGTGCTGACAGGTGGGAGAAGAAGTACATCAGTAGCACAAGTTTGTTACAATAGTTACTGTGACTAAATGCTTGAATATAGGGTGAACCATTTTGTGAGCATTTACTCCGACTCTAGCCACCTACATCATGGCGAAGAAAGGCTTGCCAGGGTGACAAAAACTATACAGGTATCTGTCTAAATAGTTTAGGAATTTCAGTAAACACTATTACAAAAAATGCATGATTTATTACTTATTGCTGATGATATTACAAAGAAGCACAAATTTGTGACTAGAAGTACAGAGTAGTAGAGCTGAATTACATTAAACCAGTAAATGTTTTCCAACTTAAAAACAAAAAAGTAGGTCCTTTTGTACCATGCTCACTTCAATGTTAATGAATCTCAAGTGACATTCTCTGACCTAATACTCCATCAGCTTCATAATCTTTTTAAATAACAAAAAGATTTTGTTATGTTTTAATTTAATAAATGGGTACATACCAAGAGGAACTTGCTTCAGCACTAGCATGTTCAATAATAAGCGTATAAAATTACCTGTGTAACCAAATTATATTCAGGATTATCACCAGCTGCAAGCAAATACTCTGCTTTCACTGAATATGCCAAGAAAAAACCTTGACTGCCTGATTACACAATACTGTACTGAGTTAGATGGTAGACATTTTTTCACTCTCACAATCCTGTTCCCATACTATGCTGGGTGGCCAGAATCAAACAGTAGTGTAATGTATATTAACCATATAGAATCAACGAGTGTATATTAAGCATATATAAATCATTACTGAGCTAACTTTAAAATCAAACAAACACATTTTTGGTAATACCTGAAAAAATTTATAAATTCCTGACATCTACAGAAAGAAGTGCGAGGAGATCAGACTCCTCACACAATATTGAGTAACCTGGAATAAATTTGATCTACTTTACTGTATATGTAACAAATGGGTTAAATCATTCATAAGTCACCGAGAGATAGTAATGTGTATACAGTGCATTACCCTTCATAATACATGTACTGTACACATAACGAATAACAGATATAAAACATATACAGGTACTCCTCGACTTATGACCTACTCGACTTACGACCACCCGGACATATGACCGCCAGTCGTATAAAATATTTTTAAAATTACGTATTTTCAAGTCCCGACGTTAGTGATCGCGCTGTGTACTGACAAAATTTTCATTTGTAATTCCCTTTTAAACGGCTGGCAAGCGTAAAAGTGAGAGTTCTCGTGGTGCTGAGAAGAAAAAGAGACACCCATTTTATATTTTATATGTATTATTTTTGCATTTTCGACTTACGACTAATTCGAATTACGACCTACAATTAATGTTCAAATAAGGAAATATTGTATGTTTGTAGAAAAAAGAAAAAAAATACATATTTGTTACAGAAACACACATCATTGATTGTTAAAAGCATAATTTAAATATTAATTGTGTCCAGATTAGAAAAGTGCCTTTATTCCTAGTTGGTCAGTTCATTCATCAGATTCGTGGGTAAATTCACTAGGATGGACTCATATTGGTAGAACCTGATGATTCAACTTGGAATGCACAGTAAAATAATGGTAATATGAAGTTTAGTGAGTCAGTTTGGAAGTTAACAGGTCACTTTGTATACTGTATGTACAAATTGAGGATATGACCTAGTATGTATGGGTATTTCTATTTCTTGTCTTAGCCCTTCTTTATCATTTTCTGTAAGTGCCTTAAACTGCTATCCCTTGTTATTCCACACCATCTTTGAAGTTCCTGTATCCCTTGACCCATCCCACAAAAAAGAGAGAGAGAGAAAGAGAGAGATATCAAGTTAACTGATAAATAGGTTTTGGGTTTAGTGAAGCTGATCTCAAAATAACTTTGTTTTAAATATTTTCCATAAATTTTCGAAAGATAATGCAGCTTCAAAAGTAACTTATGAAGCCAAAGTACAAGATACATAGTATTACTGAGCTGTTATGGAGCCCATCATCTGTGGGGAGCGATCAAACCATGCTATTCTGCCGTCAGTTTTTTCTGTTAAGCTTAAAACTCAACAGTATAAATATTCAACATGTGAGTAAATCAAGTGTAACCATTATGAGAGGTTTCATTTTTAGAAATCTGGGGTCTGTATTTTTAAAGTGTACTGTAATACATAACACAATTAACATTAATTTTACTATTTTCTGTCAACACTGCTGCATTATGTGCACAATACAAGTTTGAGTTATTTAATTTCTAGAATTCTTGTTTACCTTATTTATGTAAACATTACATATGCCAATGGCAAGCTATCAGCAAACTACAAACCCTAAAAGTTAAAGAACTGTATTGACAAGTTTTTGATGAGAAGACTAACCAGTTTATAGAGTATAAAAATATATATTTTTGATATTGAAATCACAAACATGCCATAATCTCTATATAATCACATTCAATATCCATTTGAAATTAAATGTGGACTACATAATTAAAATGAAACAAGCAATAAGACTATTCAAACTGCAACCTTCATAATGTATAATTACAACACATTAATTATAGTCCAGCATCTTAAAGATATATACATTTTAACTTAAGTCTTTTAAAAATGTATTGTTCATATTCAAAATCTTTTGAAAACTAATGAGTTAGTTAACATGCAAAGACTGGGGAAACTGGGTGTGTGGGTGCACAACACAAAAGTGTCAGGTACAAAACTCTATCTCTCTCCTTGAATTTCTTTTTGTGCACTTGCCAAAATGAATGCTGCTTTAACATGGGTAAAGCAAGACTATACAAAGCATCTCTATTTACATTTATCAACAGAATAAATAATTTTTAGAAAAGCGAGTACTGTACATTAGTAATAACAGAAAATATAATTAAATGATCAAAGAATGTTTAAGTATTTCTGTGAAAGACATTACACCCTGTCCATTCACTTTACTTGGGTATACATTAAAGTACAATACAAACATATGCTAGTGTAGGAGTTGCCAATATCAAAACTAGTATGACTGTAGGGATACAGTATGCCTCGTTATCTGAATGTTCGGCATTCAAAAATTTGCTTATCCAAAATTTATATTCTTACACCTCTTTTTCAATATACAAAAGTGATCCTCACTTATCCGAAAGGTGGCCCTGTGGTGAGCCTTGATTGCCCTCCGATAAGGTAATGTACCAACTGCACAGTAATTTTATTTAGTTTAGCAATTACCATACAATAGTTAGGAGCTAAATTACAGCAATTAGGCACAATCCTAGAGTAGTTAAGTAGGTTTTTTGTTGTTCATGAACCAATTAAATTTTTTTAGGTAATAGAACATCGGGGTTTCTGAATAGTTTTCATGGTATCTAACTGATTTGGATAACGAGTAATACCTGTATATGAACACCGCTGTCAACATTCCTATTTTCAAACATTTAGAGAAAACTTATAGAATCAATTTTATGTGAAAAAAATTTATTGCACAAGTAATGTTTAAAACAATGAATTTTAGAGCAAAAACTAACAAACTAGAAATGTGCATTATAACTAATTACTGATGCACTTAATTACATAACCAAATAATTATATAAAATACGCAAGTCAACTTCTGGTAAACCTCAACAGCAGGGAACAGTTTCATCATTTTCAAGAACTATAATATTACCTCAATTACCTAAAGACAGACTAATCTTGATGTTAAAAGCCTCCATTAGCAATGGATGCAATTTTTTTCTTTACATGAAATTACCTAAGACATTGTATCCTCATTCACATAACAAATTGTGTGAAAAGGTAATTAGATGGATATGACTGTTAGGAACATATCTGCTTGTCCATATTTCCAATATTCTTGATTGTATAAAATAAAGCCAAATGTTCAGTGTAAATTAATGGTTTTATTTCTTTCTTTTGAGCAATAAAGACAAGTGATTTATAAATATGAATTTTCATAGCAGTTATTATAAAGTTTAACACGTTCAACAAATCTTGCTGACAAATGTCTCGGTACAATTTTGTAATACCCACAATCTCTAGCTACTTTATCCCTTTCAAATCTTCTTTCACTCTCCACTTCATAAGACGCATACAAGTAAGAGCATCCTCAGCACTGTCATGACCTGAAACTGTACAAAAAATAATTAAATGTGACCACATTGCATGAGGAGAAGGTACATGTACTACTAAAATTGCAAATACCGTACTGTACATATGCATGCCATAAATCATACCTGTACACACACACGCAGACACACTTTGTGTGTGTGTGTGTATATATATATATATATATATATATATATATATATATATATATATATATATATATATATATATATATATATATATATATATATATATATATATATATATATATATATATATATATATATAATATATATATATATATATATATATATATATATATCAAATCACTGTAGGTGCGGATCTAGGTATATGTTGATAATCATGGAAAAGAAGAAAGTCTGTTGTAATTCACATTTAGTGAGTACAGACTAGCTAGTCTGTACTCACCCCTGAAGATGTGAATTACACGAAAGCGCTTGGGAACTTCGTGTTTTCTTCTTTCCTTGTGGTTATCAGCATATATATATATATATATGCTGATAGTCACATAGGAAAATAGAAAAAATGAAATTCCCCAAGAACTTAAGTATGTGTAATTCACATCTTCAGGGATGAATCACACAAAAGTGCTTGGGAACTTCATGCTTTCTTTTTTACTATGTGGTGTGTATGTGTGAGAAGTGATTGTGTGGAGGCAGTTATAACAAAGTCCTTGGCTAATAACTACATGGCTGACTCGCCAGCCTAGTATATTGTTACTTGTAATGAAACTTTAAAAGCTGTGGAAAACTCATTACAATATTCTAATGTGGCTTAAAATTAAGAAAATATAATATACAGTCTCTCCTCGACTTACAACGGGGTTCCGTCCTGACGATCAGGTCGTAAGTCAAATTTTGTCAGTACACAGCGTGATCACGAACAACGACGGCCAAACACCAACTGAGCGGGCTACGACGTGGATGATGTACACCATGAGGCGGCCCAGCCCAAGCTATAATACGGCGTCACATTACGACCAAACGTTGGGACTCGAAAATACGTAATGTGAAAAATATTTTATACGACCATGGCCGTCGTGTGTCCGGGTTGTCGTAAGTCAAATATGTCTTAAGTCGAGGATAGACTGTACAACTATAAAATAAAAAAAATGAAAAGCATCGGTGTGTATATGTGGGAAATGAATGTGTTGAGGCAGTGAGTTAGGGCTACATGTAACAGGGTGTGGCTGCATTCCCTCTTGAGGTGATGTTGTGGCATACACACAGCCGGCGCAGTGGCAGCCACACGTCTGTGAGTCAGCTGATGAGAATTTATGTAGTGGGATTCCTCAATTCTTATTAATCTCATTAAATATTAAGTTCCTCGATTACGGATTCCCCTAACATAGCGTTTTCGAGGAACCTAGACCCACATCCACGGGAGATACCCCACGATCATGGGAGGGGGTGGAGGGGGTTGCTCCTGTTTCCCGTGTCCTTAGTGGAACGATTGTCAAATGGCAATGTAGTATTATTTCTTTTCTTTTATTTATTAGTATTAATAGTTTTATTTTTTAGTCATTCTTCACATTTACAGAGGAATATATTAGATCATGGAGGGATAAAGACGCCTCACTAATCTGAGGATATTTGAAATTCAATGACATGATTGATGATATGGTATAGAGTAAAACCCATGGATACCCGGAATCCACAGATGGGAAATCCGCGGTTGGTAGGGTCGACTGTACTTTGTTCATATTAATGGGAAGACTTAACTGGGTTTTATAGAAGTGGAATTGCCCCAGGATTTTTTATAAATGGCCAGTTATTTTAACAACAGATTATTCTATCGTTTACTTATTTACTTCCTTCTACAAATTAAGTTATGACACCATCAGCCCGGGGATTTCAAACAGTAACTTTGGTGACTGCAGTGCCAGCAGGTCAAAATGTTTTTTTTTTTTTTTTACAAAATTTGGGGTTGCTTTGAGATGCCACTGTGTGTTCAATGATTATAATAATTATCTATGGAAGGGTCACTTCCGGCTTATGGACTGCCTCTAGGAATGGAACCCATCCGTAACTCGGGAGTGCCGGTATGTCAAGACAACTGAATCAGTAAACAAATAAATAATCCTTGTTTCCTACTAAAATTAATTTGTAAATTTAAAAACTGCAAATGATATACTGTAGATGCCTTTGACTTCCTGAAACAATTATATCCTGGCAAAGAGCTTTCAGCCACCCTCAGCTAAGTACCATCCAATGTTCTTAAGCTTCAAGGTCACGAAGTCCCTCACTCACAATGGAGGTTGAACACATAATAGCGAAGAGTGAAACAGAAGATATTTACAGTGATGTAAGTTATGAACTGTAGTCAGGAATTCTGCTCACTGTGTACTGCACTGAAATGAAAGTGATTACAACAGAGGAACTGGTGTGGTACTAAAAAACAAAAGATCACAGAAGTACAATGCACTATATGAGAAGGCTTTCACTCAGCTGATGATGAAGATTATGATATACTGAGTCAAGGTTGAGTAAGAATAAAGATGTTCAACTCCTCTAGAAATAAGTAAACCGCCATAAGAATGAATGCTTCTATCATAGTCATTTCAATACATGTAAAAAATTAAAACTCGGATAAAACCTCGATAATTCCACCATCAGGAGAGGTACTGAAACATGCCTTTACTGTGACACAAAAATAAGATAAATGATACTAAACATAATTCTACTTGTCGTTTCCTCAGTAAATGTTATTTTAGTAAGATAAGAAGTGATGCGATATAGATATAACTGAGAAATAACAAGATGATTTACAAAATGCACACAAAATCCTTACCATCATTTTGGATAATTGTTTTCAGATATTCTGAAGCTAAGTTGCGAAGAGCACGCTTAAAGGGGGGACCCATCTTGTGGGGAAATACTGTACTGGTGTCTACAACAGTGTCATGAATCAACTGAAATATACAAATCATTAGGTCAAAATACTAATTCATTCTAAATATATGTTAAATGATAAAAAATAAAAAAATCTCTTTAATCCCACCAGCTCCTTTCTCTTTCCTCTGATACTTCTCCCTCACTCACTCACATACAATCACAAAAAATAAACAAACACATAAACAGTAGCTACATATGTTTTCACTGGTATCAACTTCAATTCAGTGATGCAAGTGAAAAATCTTCTCTATGCAGTACAATTGCTGAACTGCTTACCCTGCAAAAAAATCTTATTTGAAAAGTCAAAACAAATCCTAAATGATTCTGCATATTGGTTTGGATATCATACAAAAATCACCCATTGTGGACATTGGAAGATATACTCATAATCATCATACAGCTTGTAAAACACATCACCACACACACACACACTGTTGATGATGCTGAAGATTCTTGAAACTTTACATTTAATTTTCACTGAATCTTGCTACCAAAGTGACATCAAATTGTCAAAACCTTAAAGACGAAGAAAACTTAAAATACACAAGAAAACATTTCCCACCATTACTTCCTATCTTTAAATAATGGTATTATTTACTTCATTAAACTAAAAATGAATTTCTTTTGGCAACCAAAGGATATTCATCTTACAAAGATCATATATTTCTGCCTATTCAATTAATTTCAAGACTCCCCTAACTTCCAATATCATATTATCAACACTGATAGTCTTACCCTTTGGAAAATCTTCATAACTCAACAAAAGTTCAAGATTTCCAGACACAGAGCAATTCTGCAATAACATAATACTTGGTCAAAAGTCAGTACAAAAGCAATAGAAAACTGCATCAGTACTGTACTTAACAAACACCTTTAAGTTATTAACTGACATCTAATTGTGTACATTGAACCAGACTGCCTTAAAGCCCACCATCTCCCTATTAAATTCAATCACTTCTTAATGTCTCCTTACCTTAAGTGCATGAAAATCAGACTCAAGACTGTGTCCAATGAGGATAGATTTATCAGAGAACCGTGTTAGTATGGCAGCTTGAACATCTCGTATTGTTGTCTTCACATCCTCCATGTCACTCTCAGTTATTCCTGAAAACCTGTGCAAAGGATAAATGTTTCAGGTTTTAAAAAAAATAATATTATGATTTTTAGCAATTTATGTGACTAAAATATATCTTTGTGATAAAAAAACAAAACAAGCCTTGACACAACAGAGGTGTTAGACAAAACGTTTAAAAAGATGAGCAGGAAAAAAAAAATCAAGCATGCTGTGATATCTTCTTCCTTTCACTCCAATATAATTCGACAATAGTATGACAGCCAAGACAATAATACACCTTTCAAAATTTAGAACAATTTAAAGTCTCTCAAATATACATTATAAAGTCTTTCCTCTTCCTTAACTGTTTATTCTATCTCCCCATCTATTCAAAACATTAGTCTTACCTTGTATTGTAATCAATGATGGGGTTATCTGGTTTAACTAACTGCTCATAGATTGTGTTTCCCTCTGTGTTGATGATTGTTATTCGGGTGAGTTCGTTGCCAGCCGTGGTATAACACATCTCACAATCTACAAATGTAAAAAAAAATCATAACAAATGTACTAAGAATCTACATAAAGTACATCCTTCCTATTTTAAGCAACATATTTGGGGGAGGTCGGTTAAATTTGATGGAAATTGAAAACAAAGAAGTAATAGTTATATGTGGCTTTCAGTCCAGTATCTATATCATCATTATCATCACCATCATGAAATATCAAAATCATAGACATGAAGGCTACATAAATCAAGGGCTTAGTGTATAGTAATCAAATTTTAAACTGATTACAGTATGCAAAAGTACTAGCACCAAAAAGAATAACTGTCTAATAGCTACCTAATGCATAAACTCCTGGATCACCTCCCGTAGTGTCCTTGGGAAGAGTTCTGACAAAACCGCGTAGATTACATGGATCATAGTTCTGGGAAACATGGGTGGTAGCCTGACAGCAACCTTCTGACTCTTGATCTCCCCCACAACAGGTGTAACGGGCCTCAAAGCCGCTGTAAGTTCTGCGTTTATTGGCACGGCCCCAGTGATGAATACAAGGAGCAGTAGATGTAGGGAATCCCCACTTGTCGACCTTATATAGGATATTACACCGGTCACAGTATCTCTCAATGGAACTTGGGCTAATTTTCTTGCGAGTGTCCACCTGCACCGAGAAGACATCAACAGAGAACTGCTATAATACAGTTTTTAAGATGAAAGTAAATCAAAAGAGCAATTGACCATTATTGTACATAAATTATCAGTAACCTTTACCATATCAGTTTGGAGTTAAATACTAAATCACTGTAACATTAGAACATTCATAAATAGATTAAAAATTCTACTACTTTTTTTCTTTAATTACAAACCTTCAATTCTTCCTGAACAAAGTAAAAAGTAAAAAGGCTTGCTTTTTCTTTTAAAGCAAGCCTTTTCCCACAATACTGCAAAGTTGCCAGATACAAAAACAAACACACTCCTTCATTCACTTTCACTGCTGCAGAATAATATGCAATATTTCATGTATTACATATAAATAACTTCAGGCAGTAATTTCTGTAAGATTCTTACAAATGATTCTTTTTGTATTTAATATTTAAACCACTTCTTCCTACATGGCAAAATCAATAAATATGGGATCATGTTAAACTTGGCATTTGTATGTCTGGTAACAAAATTGCATACCGATTTTATTATAGCCTTGCCCTTCTCTTCAGGATCAGGTAATGGGAATCCATTTGCTGCAAGTTCTTCCTCAGTCAATATGTACTTTGCCAAAAGCTTGTAGAATGCTTCACCTGCAAAATATGTCAAAGATGACTCAAATGTAAACATATTTCAAGTGCTGAAAAAAGAGCAATTAAATATGTTCCATTTGGTTGCAAACATACTACAGTTACTAAGTGACGTACAGAATAAATTACTATAATGTCTGCAAGATTGTTTGAATTCACTGCATAAAAATTTTATTTGTAATGCCGACGATTTATAGCCATTAAAATTTTGTTAATATAAGTAAGCCAAAGGTATTATTAACCATAAATCAGTAAGATATTCCATCTATGGAGATTTTAAACTTGCCTTTTAAGCTATCCTGGATATCACTTGTATTCTTTTTGGGTTTTTCAATACTCCAGGAACCCCTTTGTCCACCTCCTGATAAGACTGTGAAGTGGGACAACCTCACATGGTTGGGATTGACAGGGTGTGGTTTTATGGCCTTTGATTGTGAAGACGACGCACCTGATGTGGAGGGTTTAACACCAGGCGATACTTCTTCTAAATGCAAACTGTCAACAACTGCAAGATGGTATGAAGGCATAAATTATCATTAAGAATACAATATAATGAAAAAAATTGAAATTAGGGCAAACAACTGAAAATTTCCCACTAGCATATATTTTGTGCATCTACTACCCTCAAGAACATTGGTAAGTTACAAAAACTGAAGCATTCATTGAGGGATTCTTTACATTGACTTTAAGTATCACATAAATAAAGAGGCAGGGTAACTAGATGGATCTGTTGGGCCTTGTTGTGGAAGGTGACCATCATAGAATACATTTGGTAAGGCAGTAAGAAAATATAAATGACAGCAAACAAGGGAGACCTTTGGTTAATCTTGACTTGAGTCACCACATGCACCCAGGCAGGAAAAGACTTACAATGTAGGTCACATGCTATGATATATTAGACAGAATCTGAAGACAGGATTAAAAATTGAGGGGAGAAAACTAATGTGGACGGAGCAAGAAAAACTTGATAAAGATACATGGTAATAGTTAACAAAAGACTGCCTGAGTGAGAGTACAGTAAACCCTTGTTATTCGCAGGGGTTAGGTTCCAAGGGATGCTGCAAATAGGCAAAACTGCGAGTAGCAACTTATACTACCACAGTGCACTATTGTATGAGAAACTTAAGTCACCCATACTACTTACATTCATATGTGGTTAGCTGATGCAGCCTTCCTGGTTATTGTGGAGCAAGAATCTTTTCTTAAAATCCTTAAACCAACCTTTATTGGCACAAAAGTTTGTTTAGTAGCCACACTAGCCCCTTCACCACTGGTTGATTCATGAAAATAGGCATGGAAACTCTTAGCCCTCTCATGAAACACATTGTTGTCAATGGGAACATTTTTGTAGTGCTGGTCCTCAATCAAAATGTTCAATGTATTTTCTGTTTTCACTATGTTTTTTCATGAACAGTCTGCACCACTTTAGCACTTGTAGGAGCACTCACTGCAACAGTCACGAATCACTTGTTCTTTCTTCTTAATGTACGGTACCATGGACTCATTCACACAAAACAACCAGTCAACCACAGTGGTGGTCATTCCTTCCTTTGACTTATCTAATAATTGAAATTTCTTGGTAAGGGTCATCACTTACCTCTGCCTTTTATGTTTCACTGCACTAGCATCACTAGCACTAGGCAATCTTTTAGGGGACATTTTGCACAAAAAATGCTATCGTTTTGAGCACAATTCGAGAGATGCTGCGGCGCAGACAATGGTTGAACACAAGCAAGAGAGAGGAGATGCATGGGGGTGACTCGTAGTGTTCCCACAGAGGTGCGTGAGTTAACCACCATCTGTTTACCATAAATAGTCGAAACCAAAAATGGTAAATTCGTGAATAACAAGGGTTTACTGTACAGTTCTGTACTGTACAGTATGTATAAGACTAATGAGCAGGAGCTATAAAAGATAAATATCATAATCATGAAATGTTCAGAGGAGGGCAAAATAATGGCACTGGCAAGATATCCTGCAACAGCTTCCAAGCTGCCTATTGAGAAAAATCTAACCACGCACAGAACAATTAACAGAAAGATATGCTACTAACAAAAGTGGTGAAGAGCATATATATATATATATATATAAATATATATATATATATATATATATATATATATATATATATATATATATATATATATATATATATATATATATATATATATATATATATATATATATATATATATATATATATATATATATATATATATATATATATATATATATATATATATATATATATATATATATATTTTTTTTTTTACAGTAAAAAATTAATGATCTTATTCCAAGACCTTAGGTCTTACATTGTGGATCATTATCGAGCAATTCTTGAGCTGCTTCTCCTACTTCCCGTTGAGTTCGCAATCTTTTCACAGCATTAACAGCAAGATTTAAGTACACCATCCGAGAAGACGCACGTTTAAAACACACACGTTCCTCAGCTGCACCCTTGAAACAAATGGAAGATTGAAGTGTAAAATCACACTTTATAACTGAGAAGGAGACAAGTGACTTACAATACCACCACTAGAGTACCTCCTGATGAGCCAGGTAGCTCCACAAGCTCTATCATCAAGTTATACTTTCCAATGGATCAGCACAGCATTAACAGCTTTTATCACTATGAGTCATGTCAAAACAAAGCCTTGTATCCCAAGTACAGTTGCTGCTTTGAGAGTCAGCAAGGTTTCTTTATCAAACAGCCTAAAACTCTGGCAAAAGCTTCTTCTAATCATCTCCTACGTTGGAAATAAATTTAATTTTCCTTCTTATTTCAGTCTCTCATCTATAGATTATAAAATCAATTACCCTGTACATACATAACACAGTCAAGATTTTTTTTTTTTGCATCAGAAGTGAAAACATCAACATCCACAACTGTAAGGATAAATCTATTACATATGATATTTTTCAACTTGAAATACTTATCAGTATCTCTTAGCCTCTTCTATCACTCAGCTGTGTATCTAATCCACCCATTAAAACAATATTTAACTTTGTATCCAATGTTTTAATTAGAGTATGTCTCAAATAGTGACAGTAGCTCTTGCTGTACAGTATTTAATGACAGTAATTATTTAGAACAAAATTAATGCCTGATTACAGTATATTTTTCACTCCAGACACCAATAACACCAAGAGTGAACCTTCACTTGCACTACAAAGCTTTGAGAACTTACTATTTTGAAGGCTTCCCTCTCTCCACAGAATTTTAAGCACTCATCAATTATAGAGTTGAGGTAGCGTTGCCTTATGTTATGAGGAACTTTGCTACCAAATTCAGCAGGGATAACAGGTCGCTTCAACGTTTCCTAGAAAAGAAACATGCAAAAAATAGCTATATTTGATGATAGTTATGTACTGTAATCACTTAAACAATTTACCCTCAGCCATGAAGTGGTGAAGCCAAAAATGAGGGATAATAATATGGTATGGCAGCAAAGTGGCAGCATGAACTATACAGCAGAGCAAAATTGTTAATGGCTTGATGGCTGATAGAAGTCTGAGGATTAAAGCTTGTAAGCTAGGTATTTGGTTCAGATGATTTAAGAATAAAGGAGAGTTGGAAGAGTCCATCAATTAATTGGCAATTCTTTCTGGGCTACACTCTGAACTACCAAAAAAAAAAAGTAATTCAGTAATTAAGGCAGTATGTATTACTATATCCAACAAAAACATTACAGAAGACTATCAGCATGAAAGCATTAACAATAAGTTTATTTTTCTTGACACATATTGACGTGCAAACTTACAGCCTTTGGTGTATGAGCTATTCTCTTAGAACCTTTGGTAGTAGTTTGAGCAGTAGTTTGTGGGATAACACCTGAGGCTTTAGCTACACTTGGAGACAGTAGTGACCTCGAATTGGTAGGAGGTAAATTCTTGATCCTCTCCCGGGCATGGAGAAGTGATGAGACATTTGGTACATGAGAGATCCGGCGCTTTAATCCACCTACAAAGAAATGACATAATGAAACTTTCCAATATGAATAGTAGAATTTTCTTTCTTTACATCTAAAGCAAATGGCACAGTGAGTGAACAACCATTTGTCAAAGTTATTTACAATGGTGTCCTACTGTCAAAGACTGAAGATATTTGATATTGAATACATGTATTCTGAACTGTTAGAAGATATAAGACACTGTTTAAAAACTTTGGCAGGAAATTCCACGATTTGGTCTGAGGTGTAAATGAGTATTGGTAGGCAGAAGTTTTGAAGCATGGAATACTAACAGCAAAGACAAGTACCTTTCCTGATGCCTCGCTGGTTAATGGTGGGCATGCATTGATAACACTAGTGAATGTAGTTCATTGAAACGGTGACTGTGGAAGTATTTAAAGAACAGGGAAAGTAATGTGTTATCCCTATGAATATGTAGTGTTAGAGGCATTCTGGTAAGGTCATTATTGATAATTTTTTCTATATTAAATCAAGAAAGTTAAATACTACACCACCACAACCAACCCACAGGTGCCACCTAGGAGCACACATGACTTAAACAAATTGTTACAAACTGTTCAACCATAAAACAGGACCTATTAGCTTTGAAAAAGACTCCATCCTACCTCGAAAATGATTTTGGCAAAGGACCTAACAAAACCTATCACAGTAACTCCTTAGGTAAGAGTGATGCTTAAAATTTTATTGCTATGAGAAGTTTCAATGATGATTTTGTCAAAAATCTACATTAAACTATGCACTGTCATGCCTGTTACTCATTACTGTATTAGGCATTATGTTTTAGAGGTGCTGAACTCAATCAATCTGGATACACCACATCCGTGGTTGGTGAGGTCTACTGTATACTGTTGTATTTCCAACACCATATTCCTCTCCAAGGAAGCAAACAGACACCCTTATCAATATTTACACTTTCTACAATACTGTAAGCGTAACATGTTTCATTTTTGCAGCACTACAGTCAGCACTATCACTTGGTTGCTTAAAATATGCCATTAAAACAATGAAATTTCTTATACAGTACAACCTCGGACATCTGGCATCCAAACAACTTCAGAATGAATATATATGGTATTTTACAAGAATAATTCCATTTAACAAAGAGAACAATTAAAACAATAATAAAAACAAGGAATATTCAGTAAATGACTGCGATAATTCTAGAAACTACCGACAGTGGTCAGGCAAACCACTCGTTGTCGTAGATGACTTGATGATTACAGATTTCCCACCAATAACCAGTGTTATATTTCCTGTATAAATGTGTAACTGCCTTATAAAATAAATCAAACCTTCACTGAGGAACAAAATGCTTCAATTACCGGCTAATGCTCAACAAACAACGGTCTACCCACCTGGCAGCCATTTTTTTTTTTTTTTTTTTTTGGTAGTACCGACCAAGCACTGACAAACCATATGCGCAACTGCTCGGAGATGATAGCCAGGAACAGAATGACAGCAATCATTAATTTTTAAGATTTGAAAGTGAATAAATTTTTTTTTACGGTTAATGGGGTTAAAAGTTAATGACATTATGGTATCTTGATATTTTGGTAAAGTTACGATACTACATACAGGCATGTTTGGTATGAATGTTTTCTTTTTACAAATAAAGTGGCAATAAAAAAAATTTTAACACATTAAAATTCCCCATGTTTGGTATGAATGTTTTCTTTTTACAAATAAAGTGGCAATAAAATTTTTTTTAACAACATTAAAATTCCCCTCACTTTTATTTTTCCAACATATTTCATGCTAAATTTAGGGTGTGTCCTATATGCCGCAAAATACGGTAATCATCCAGAACCTTCAAGCATCCAGCATTTTTTTGGTGGGGTCACTTTTCAGTAAGTAAAGTACTGTGTAATCACATTTAAGAAATCAAGAAAATCCGTTTGAATTTGGTGCCGCTTTACCTGTGGTTCCATAACGAGGAGTACAGCCCTTTTAGTCCTATATCTGAGGTCTTACTGTAATATCAAAATGAATATGACTTTGAATACAAACACATGTGTTTTGGGCAACAGCGTCTGTTTGAATACGCGTGTGACAGCAGCATTTTAACAAGAGCGTAACACATTGTGGAATTTACCCATTCTAAGTTTAGAAACAAAAAAATTTTAGAAGATCGGATTTTAAAAATTTGACTAACAATTTAATAAAAATGTGAAGGTGACCCATATAGCTAATTATTATGCATAACTTAAATAAATAAAATAAAAAGCCAAACCTTTAAGCTAATAACTGTTTCCAAAATATATATATATATATACTGTACAGTATATAATTTATACATCAAAAAGTAATTTTCTGATAAAAATGTGGAAAATGGTCTAACTACAGGTTGAGACATCTTAAATCTTGGGACTTCTGGAAATTATGACCCTGACACTCCCACATTGCCTTAGAGGACCTGCTTTTATTTGTCTTTACTAGGATGACTGTAAATGTGGCCACTGTAGTTGTGAGTTCAGCAATCATTACCGTGATCCCGAGCAGGCCACAACAGCTGTCTTTACATGCTCAAGCCCTTCTTTTCTGGCAAGTGATCAGGAATGGTAAACAGAGTGAATTAATCATTACAAAAAGTTAATACTGTACCACATTAAGTAACTCACCAGATGAGGAATGAGGAGGTGACATAAGGGAGGAAGATGGAGAAGCTTGTGAGACTGTGGCTTTAGCTTGTGAAGTGGATACACTCCGATTTTGTTCTTCTAATTGCTTCTTCTGCTTCTTTACTTGTTCCATAAGTTTGGCTTTCTGTTCCTTGAGCTTCTGGTACCTCTCCATCATGATCTGAAACATGATGGTCAAATTAAATGATACTGTCCGTCAAGTTGTGCCAAAATGTTTCTCAGTGATGGTTTTGAAAAAGCCTTCTTTCCCCATAATTTGGCCAGGTTGGTAGAGGTAACTGGTTTACTCTAGTCTAAGCTAACATGTCACCTTGAGATGTTCCATCTTTAGTTAATTTTCAGGTGACTTTGCTTAACTACTTGTTATAAAGGAAAGCACTGAATCACAGCTGACTTGTGTTTGTATCTAAGACAGCATTGATGGCATCTTAGTAACTCTCATGTTAAGTACTCAGCGGACTTACTGGAGGTGACATGAGTGACACAATAACTTCGTGGTGGGAGGTTGTAACTCAAAGAAGTGGTTGAGTGCATCTAAGAGAGCAACAACATCTTACCTGTGCCGGAGTTTTCTTACGCTGTTGGCCAAAACTAGTTTTCTTTGGTATAAGGTTCCCTGACGAGCTTGATCGTGCAACACGTGACTTTCCAGGAAGGGCGTCTGGCTCTTCATCTACAGATTGTGTCCTTGCCTGTAATAAATACACTGTAATAGATCATTCAAAAGTGAAAAACCTAAGGATACAAAAGCAAGGATTAGTCATACATCAGTTAATAATCAGTGATTTGCTGCCTAATCAAAGCCAAGTATACTGTAGCAACAGGTAAAAACTTGTTAAAAAGGAAATAAAGGAACCTTTAACAGTGAAAATTACACAGTATATACGATATGAAATGCCACATAATTAGTGTTATCGCCGCCCTCGTACGCCGCGACCTCTGACTCCCATGTTGCCGCGCGACCTGTGACCTCGCCAGATGTTTGTAAACGGCACATCCATAGCACAAGCGTTTCGTTGTTATGACCATAGATAGGGGCTCGGGACACCACTGGTACACAGTATCGCCCAACCCCCATTGAGTGTACACACACTAGCTATAACTAGGAGTTACTTGGAGTGATACTAAGAGTTAAGTGGAGCTATAAACCCACACACGTGAGTGAAAGAACACAGTAATTGTTTGTATTATGGTGAAATGTTATGAACTACATACGTGCATAGTGTAAGGCAATTTGGATAATAACCATACAGAATAGTGTATTTACTAAATGACGTATAATGTATACATGTAATGGAACGTAATGAGTAGTTAATGAGTGTCTTACTTTTCCAGGTTTTGCCCATATCAATCAATAAAAAGTTGACCGAGTCCACGTTGCGGGTTTCTCTCACCCTTAAGACGTGACGTCATCTAACTGGGCAGTTAAAATTAGAAAAATATCAAAATAAATTTCTTGCCTTAAAATTTTCATTCAATATATTCTCGTACTACTGCTGACAAATGGAGTAACACGTGGTCAACACTAAGCAACGGTAAGGAATCTATTCTAACATTGTCTGGGCATCTCTCACAAAAATATCCTTCTATGTACCTTTATTGGTTGTGCAAAATAAGAAATCAGAGAATAAAAACATATAAATAAAAGCTCACCGACTAAATCTCTGTGGAAACATTAAACCTCAATTATGAGGTACTGTATAGTATTACTAAAATATTGTAAATCCTTGACAAAGAAAGAAATCTCTCATTCTCAATACAGTACAGGCACCTCTGATGTTCACAGCCCAGATACCAACAGATATACAGTACAATATACAGGTATACTGTATATGGTTGGCTCAAGGTGATGACTTAATAAATGCACAGTGCAGTTAGTGAGGATAACCACCTCTTAAACATGAGCACATAATTAAGATCCCACAGGCCTTCCCCATCAGCACACTGCATAAAATTCACAAATTATTCAATACTTGAAAAAGCTTTAGGTGATTAAAGACAATTTTATGATAAAATAATAATGATACATATAACTTAAACTAGTTGTACAGTATTATGCGGTATTAAGACACAATCATACTGTAGTGGTATACTACAAACATTTCAATGGTAATCAGAAAATCAGGAATGTAAACTAAAAGGCTTTCAGCTAGTTTACAATGAAAATATATTGTACTGCACAGTTCTTGATTGAAATATGAAGGATAATACAACTGATTGCGTTAAACCTGAAGAAAATAATTAAATAGCCCTTGACAAAATTATGAAGAACAATGGAGGGATCCTACACAGGTCACTGGTCTCCTTCCCTTGGCATGGCCACCTCTAGTGAATGACCATTTGGCAAATAGGTAACATCACGTTATCCATGCAGTAACTCATTTGACTGTATATGTGATTATTTAAGAAACTTACTTTCTACAAATGGTACGAAGGATCTATTATATGAAGAAGGTTGTTAAGTTACAGGGTGTTGCAGTGAAGATCATAATGAATCACAAAGATGGGAGCTCAATCAATATACTGTACTGTAAATCTGTCAACTCTGAAAAACAAATTTAACAAGAAACTACGGAGTGCCTCATAAAAATCAGAAAAAAAATATGCACACTGCCTTACAGATTTTTGTGGTATTGTACTGTAATCATATGAATGCTTTTATTGTAACAGCAACATCGTCCTCACTTGTTAATGTGTGAGGTCTCCTATAAGTTTGAATAATATTGCTGTAAGGCATTGTGTATGCATATTTTGAGACACCCTGTATTTATCACATGCACAATCACTTTTCTCTACTCTGCTATAAATATAGTTAAAATTCTCACCTTCTTACAAACTGGTTGAACATCTGGTTCTTCAGGTGCCTCATATTCATTGAACATCTTCAAGCATTGTTCCATAACTTCTGGATCATCTCTGTCAAACTCATCTTGGTCGGAATCCTCAAAAGTTCTCAAGTTCTGATGAGAATATGAAGTTTACAAGAATAGGTACACTTCAGTTATATTTGTACTATAAAATACATAAGCTGATTGTGAAAACCTGACAAGTTATCTATGGAAGCACAGAGGGTTATCACTAACAGAGAACATACTGTACATTTTTTCCCATTTAATATCTCAAGTCATATGAAAAACATTAACTAGGTAGCCTCTAATGACTACATAAAACTTAACTCACTCTCTTGCCAGTGCTTATGTGTCTCTTAAGCTATACCAAGGCTCTTGCTAATTCCATTCATTTTTCCATGATTCCCTTCCCTGAAAAATTTCATTATTATGCACAGTAGAGTACTTACTGTATTTGATGCACCTGTTATATACACCACATAGGATAAGAGTATTTTTATATGATGAAGAAAAATGTAGTGGGTGTGACAGCTTTTGAGGACTACATACATGAAAAGGTTAATACAATACTTCACTATTATTTCTAACTTACCTCCATTTGTTATAGACACAAGTTGTCTTTTTCACTCACTCTTTCCTTTCTTGGGATCCATTTTAAATATTTTATTGAGGTTAACAGTTAGAAAAAAGGAAATGGTTTGTGAATGTGTGCTCAGAGCTCCTTGACACTTGCTCAAAGCTCCTCGATACTTGCTCAGAGCTCCTCATCATAAGTTAACGCAATACAGTATAACTGCTAAACATATGAAGACCATAATGAGTACAGTACCTCCAAATGCTTTAAATCCACTTTGTCAGAACTGTTTATCATCTGTTCCCAATCATCTTGAGGTATTTCTTCCAGCATTGATAAGTCTGGCAAAGGCGACTCATTACCAGTATTATCTGAAACAGAAGCTATACTAAGATATGCATATATGGATAACTTCCAGGACTTACGCACTATGTTCAGTAACTATGTTCCAAATTAATCATATAAGTACTGTCAGTCACCACTAGAAGCACTGTAAACATTCTGGAAAGGGACAGTCATTACCAGATGTTGGATAATCTGAAAAGAAAATTGTACACAAATATAAAAAAAAAAAAATTATACAGTAGTACATGTATACTGTACTGTATGTGGTGTCACCCAAGTACCGTATAATCAGAATCAATGCCATGAGCAAGTAAAGTATGTCACATCACCCATAAAAGAATCATCACTAACCTACCATATAGATCCACTACTACTGTACTTACCATTACAAGCATACAAGTCCCTATCCGAGATTCCATCTGAAGATGATTCTGGAACTGATGTCTGAGGAGAAATAGTAATCACTTCAATCGGTTTACTTTCCTCCTTATTTTTGGGATATTCAGCCCTGGAATGGCCTTTATCTTTATGACGACTTCCACTACTATGTTTGCTGCTACTGATGCTGCTGCTCTTCTTACTGCTGGGGTAGTGTTTAATGCTGCTACTACTAGAGTGACTGCTGGTATTGTCTGATTTGCTTTCCTTCCTCTTGCTCGTACTAGGAAGATTGTTTTTCACACTCATATACTTGTTGCCAACGCTATTACTACTAATAATACTACTGTGCTGCTGTTTGCTGGAAATGCTGCCACTGTCACTAATCTTTTGATGGCTAGAACTGCCACTATGATTACTAGAACTGTGATGATCAGTGCTTTTCTGTTTGCTAGATGAGGAATGTGCATGCTTGGAGTCACGTTTAGCATCTTTAGAACTCGAACTGGAAAGGCGACGACTTAATTTAGACGAGAGATTGGACGTGGATCTATGTTGGTCGCTTAATTTCCCTGTCTTGGATCCTGACTCAGATTTAGACTTGGTACTAGACTGACTTAAAGTACGTTTTCTTTGACTGGAAATTTCGGTAGAATTATCTTGGGTATCACTATCATTAAAATTCCTGTGACTCACATCATCATCATCTGTATGTACTCCTGATGAATCTGTACTTACATCTTGAGTTTTCATATTACTCACGGCATCAAAAATAGAGATTTCAGTCAGGGATTTTGACTTTGCTGGTTGAGTACTTGCCAGCACCATATCAAACATGGACATACCTTTAGGTTGTAAATCAGCTGTAGGGCTTAAAATTTTGTCCTTCTTATTTTTATCAACACTAGTTCTCTCTAATACTTTCTTCTTTTCCAATATAATTTCTTTGTCACTTTTCTTAGAGTCAGTGCTGCATCGTCTACTGGATGCTGGCATTTTTTCTGTATTGCTTTCAGTACTGTTTTTCCTGTCACGACTGTCTCTTCTCTTACTCTCTCTATCATTGCTTAATCTGGCTTGTTCCTTTTCTTTCTTTTTGATATTTTCTGAATCTTTTGCTGCATCAACAGATGACTTTTGACAAATGGAATGCACATTCTTATAATTCCCATCATTTGACTTTTCACTTCCTTCACTGATATTCTTCTTTTCAACCTTCTTAGAATGTGCAGAGGAAGATTTTTCATCATCCATTTTCTCAATCTTTACAATTGATAGATTAGGTACTAAAATATCCTTTTCTACTTTAATCTTTGAGGGGTCAATAGGCATGGGAGTTGTTATTGTCTGAATGTTCTCGAAATTAACACTATCTTTGGGTGGTGCTTTGTTGTCAATGTGGGTCTTTGTAACACTGTCCCGTCTGTGTTGTGGCTTAGAGATAGAGCTGTTCTTACTTCTGCTACGACTCCGACTTCTTTTACGAGAACTTTCACCTTGGCCTTTATTGGGACTTTGGCTTCTGTTTTCACTTAAACTTCTACTTCTGTGTTTGCTAGAGCTTCTGATTTTGTCTTTGCTAGAAACTCTACTCCTATTCTTACTAGAACTCCTACTTCTCTGTTTGCTTGAGTTTCTGCTTCTGTCCTTGCTTGAGTTTCTGGTGCTGTCCTTGCTCGAGTTTCTGCTTCTGTCCTTGCTCGAGTTTCTGCTTCTAGCCTTGCTAGAACTTCTGCTCCTGCCCCTGCTCGAACTCCTGCTTCTATGTCTACTAGAACTTCTGCTTCGATCCTTGCTAGTACTTCTGCTTCTGTCCTTGCTAGAACTACTGCTTTTGTCCTTGCTCGAACTCCTGCTTCGATCTTTGCTAGAACTCCTACTTCTGTGTTTACTAGAACTCCTGCTTTTGTGTTTACTGGAACTACGGCTTCTATTTCTGCTTGAGCTACGACTTTTACTGCCCCTTTTCTTCGACTTGGAGGCTTTTCTTTTCTTTCGTTTGTGTTTGGATTTTTTACGGTGCTTATTTTTCTTTCTATGTTTTTTATGCTTTTTTGGCTTCTCAATTTCATCATCTTTGTGCGTTTCTCCATTTGTTTCACTCTTATCATCACCACCATCATCTTTATTGTCATCTTTCACCGAATCTTCATCGCTATCACTCGACTCAGACCTACTCTCCTTATGCTTCCTACGTTTTTTACTTCGACTGTGTTTACGTTTACGCTTGCGGCTTTTTTTACGTTTCTTTCTGTGAAGAGAACGGTCCGAATCAGAACTGTCGGAGTAACTCCTCTTTCTCTTCCTCTTGCGTCTTCCTCGTTCTGTTTGTGAATCATCAGTGCTGTCTTCAGTCGACTTGTCATCATCGACAGAATCATCGTCCTTGCTCTCCTCATCTACTTCAGTGCCCGATGCATCACTTGGAGTATTTTTACCTTCCTTCAAATCCGTCTTTTTATTTATGTCATTCTCTTTATTTTCCTTATTTGTTTTTTCTTTGGGTACTTGGTCAGTATCCCCTTCTTCTGCTACACCATCAGGGCTCGTCCAAACTTCTGTTGCTGCACCAGAGTTTTCAGTGGGCGACGCGACCGTATCAGATGTAGCAGGTTCACCTTTCTTTGCTGCTGATGAATTTGTCAGACTCTCTATCTCCTTATCTAAATCGACTTTATATTTTTCCTTTTTCTTGGCACTTGCAGCCTGATGACCAGTCCTGGATCCTGAATGTTTGGAGCTTTCCTTCTTGTCCGCCTTACCAATAGCATCCTTTCCATCCATTAACTGTAACATTTCCTCGAGTGCATCCCCTTCTTTCCTAGCACCAGGCATGTTACTTCGAACCTGAGGGGTCCATATACGAACATTTGGTCTCGATAATTTGGGAGCAACTAATGTATGTACTACTTGTGGGAGATGGGTATGACCTTGTGTCTTTTTCTTAGAATCTTCTCTATTGGTTGACCTTTTATCAGTTTTCACAGGCAAATCTGACTTTTTAACTGCAGGAGGACTACGTTCCTCTGCATCACTATTCTCATTGGAACTTTGTACTTTGGTTGTTTCTATCAACGTTCTATTGTCATTAGATTCACATTCATCAGGACTTCTACTTGCTTTTGTATATACTATGGAATCAAAAGTACCAAATGCATCACTGTATGTTGTAAACACTGGGGAAGGAGGTAAAAAGTATGACCCATCTGTTGGTAATTTGCTGTCAATACTGTTTGTCCTTGGTATTGGTACATCACATGTGTTACTGTCTTGATCAGAAAGATTTCTTGCATCTGAGATCATAGACGATTCATCAACCTTTTTCTCTGGCATACTTAAACTATACTGAAGTTTACCTAATGCCTTTACTCTCTTTTTCTTTACTTTAACTTTATTATTTTGCAAGTGTTCAGCAAGAACTTCTTCCAAGATATCAAAATCACATTTTCTTTTATCAGTGTCATCCTCACTTTCTACAGAGGAAAAATCTGTGACTTCACCTTCTAATGATTCTTTGGAATCTGGTTCAATTTCTGTGGCATCTACTATAGTGCTCCGTGATGTCACTGGTGTTGGGGTATATTTAACAACCTTTTTCTGTGAACCTAACATGTCTTCACTGTAATCTACTGACCGCTTACGCTTGTTGAGTTCTTCAATAGGGGTAGGATTGTAACTAGGTGTGTCGGGGGGACGGAAGTAATACTTTTTCTTTCCTCTGGCATTTGCCTGGGTAGTTTCAGCAGTAGCTTGAGCGACAAGCGCTGAAGTGTCAATATTCTTCACGATTGAAGAAGGATCCACACCTGAAGATGCTAGCACAGGATTTTCAGCCAATACTTTCTTTACAGCCTCACTTACAAGTTGCTGTATGAGTTCAGACTGATCCTCATTATTTGGTCCTGATGGTCCTTCTTGACCTTCATCATCTTCTGGCTGCTGCTTGGAGCTCCCACACTCAATCAGCATTGCAGTGGTGCTACATGTTGGCAGATCTGAAGAGAAATTTATTGGTTTGAGCAGTAATCACTCTACATTCTCAAAGATGATAGTTAAACATAAATACAGTATAATAACAGTATCATAAGTATTTCACTCTTATAGATTCATATTTATGATGTTATTGTTACAATGGTGGACTAATACAAAATCAACAATAAAATAATTTCATCATGATGATACACCTTGGGAAGCTTCCCGAGCATTGTCTGTTTGATCTACCGCAACTTCTGTTGTGGAAGTAGAACTCTGCGATGGAGCAGACTTTTTCAGCTCTGCAACATAAACCATATTATTATCTTCAACTAAAGAATCAAAATCTTGTACAGCAATAGGAAAATCATCATATACTGTACTATACATCAAGTGAAGCTTTATGCAAGTTGGCTAATTTTTCATCCTTCTAAATTTGAATTAAAGCAGAAGTGTCTATAATTAGACTCTTGTAAGGAGTTGCAAAATTACCTGGTCTCTCTAAGGTGGGTTAACTTTACTGTAGTATAACTATTTGGGCCATAAATGGACCTACAATTTTGGAGTCATTCATCCCAAGAATGAACAACCAGAAAGGATAATAAAACTTTCTTGTTCATGAATTTAACAGAATCATATCGAACTATCTAGTATAAAAATGGTCTAGTAGACAAAATGAGTTGCAGACAGGTCTTGTAAACTCTGATGTTTTATAAATACTATACTTGTTCTGTGGGATTCAGTTTCGAGTTGTAAAAAATTTCATCCAACATAACTTGACATCATTACAAAAAGAAGGCACAAGACGAGTGAGGTTTCAACATTTCACAACATTTACATACTGTAGTTTTTGTTCTTCATTTTCTTTATTATTACAGTACAATTTATCTCGGTTTCAATATCCTACCCACTTACAAAATTTAAACAGAAGGATTATTAGGACTCTTTTGCATCATGCTATACTGTATTAATATGCAACTAAACTGCAATATCATTAAAGCAAATTGTTGCAGTTATTTTGGTGACTGATAAGAAATGTTATTGCCTCCCTAGCAAAAGAAAACAAATCATCACTGTACTGTGTTTGATATTAGCAGAAATTAACTAGCTACTGCTTGTTGCCACAATTGGTAATATTCAAGTCTAGGCTCAAATGGCAAAGCTAAGTGGTTCATTCCTACTCAAATCTTGGACTATACTGGGCTGAATCAACCTATACATTATATACCTGCACTGTCTATATATATGCTGAACTAATAAGAACTTGTATGATCATTTTTCTTTGTACATATCAATCTATATAATTTTAACTGGTGGTTTTTCATCCACTGAAACTGTTCACAACTCCAGTGGATGAAAACAAATCAGCTGCTGCTCATTGCTCCTGTTTCTCATGGTCCTCAGCAACACTTTGTATGGAAACATAATAAAAAGTTCTAGGAACCTGATACAGTACAGTACTATACAGTAGTTAAATATTGTCTAAAGTTTAACACCCACAGTAATACTGTACAGTTCTGTAATGCAGTGCCTTCACTGTATTCTGTAATTGTTTAGTAATCATAAAAAATTAGCACTGCAATGCTTGTATTGTGTAGCTAATTGTACATATATAAATCTTTAATCAATTACCAAAAAATAAGTTTGAGGAAATTCACCACTTTTCTTCTATAAGGTACAGTACAGTGAGTTCTGCTATAACGCGTGTTTTGATAACGCGAATTTGCTCTAACGCGATTTATGAATTAGGAACGATATTTGTATAACGCGAACGCTTGTTTGCTATAACGCGATTTTTGCTTACTATTTCTCCAATTTTGTGGTATTAACTGTGAATATGGTAAAGAAGAATATCTCCAAGAAGCGTTCTGGTGATAGAATTCCCGGTGATGATCGTAATAGAAAGGATATAACACTTGAAGAGAAGCTCGATGTTATCAACCTCAAAATCACCCTTCTCCCCCATCAAGTTACATTCATATTTTGTCAAGGTAAAGTATTACATTTACTGTATGATTTCATTATTAGATATGAATGTAACATTTATTTAGACTGTGCCATCCTTTGTGTTAGGCTAACTACTAAATTTTTTCGATTTCGAGTAATCTGCACCTAACCCTATTTTCTCCATAAGCCCTGTCATTTCTATTACACGATTTTCTATAACACGATATTTTACAAGAACACAATTATCGTGTTATAGCAGAACTACCTGTATCCAAAAAATGGTAGTTATTCTACAAATATATACATACCATTACTGTTGATTTTTCTTTAAACCTACTTTTTCTTGAACAGTTTTTAATGCTAAACACAGTGGTGATATCAAAATTTTAATGGGAAATTGCATAATTACTGAGTTATGACCTTTCCTACCCTGTTCAAGTCTGGGTAGGATTTCTAAACAGAGGGAAAATGTGGAAATAAAAACAAAACTAACAGACGATAAAGGTGGAGGACGCAACACCAGAAGGACTTAATGGAAATACACCAAATTTTCAGATGTTGTTTGGATGATACTGAGTAATAAAATCGAAGCAACAACACTGTGCTGCAGCATTTCTTTTCTTTTAAGCCTATCCTTCAATCATAAATTACTTGTTAGCAGGCAGGGCATGAAAGTAGAGGGAAAAAACAAGGTAAAAACACTGTGAACACTGATCATATTGCAGTAATTCTATGTCTCTACGTCCTTTGTAGGCGGAGAAAAAATTTTTTACCTTCATTATGGCGCCGTCAGATCTCCCGTGGCAACCATGTTTTAGTTCACATCATCTGCTATATAGGTGCGTCTGCGGTAATTAGTTACATGTCAAGAAATGAACGACCATCTCATCGGGTGTATTTAATTACAATTTACAGTATATTGGATTGAATTTGTTTATTTTGGTAAATGTCTGAGAACAGCACTACCACCAGAAGAACTTGTTCAATTTTGTTCATTTTTCCACAGACGTCCTTATCAATATATTAAGTATTTTAAAAGCGTCGACATTTACTAGAACCTAATAGAACCTGACCTAAACAACCAAAGAAACCTACCCAACTTCCTAGCCTCTGCCATATTAAACAGAAAATATTCATTTTGATACGTATCTGGTACCAATGAAAGCAACATTTGTTGAAGTATCATGCTGTAATTTTATGTTTTTGCAGACGTTTCCTTTTCTTTTATCCTCTTTACCAAATGATCGGCTCATTAGCCGCTTGGGCGATCGGTCACGTCTCTGTTACTCACTGTTGGCAAGTACTGGGCATGCACCGGCTCCTGAATGTACTTGAACCTGCTCCAGTGTTGGTCAATTCTTGTCTTGAAAGCGCTCACACTCGGTGCCATCACAAAACCTTTCTGGTAGATTGTTCCAGGAGTTCGCAACTCTCACTCCGAAAAAGTTTCCCCGCACAGTTTTCTGGACTTGCGGCTTCTTCAATCTTGAGCCGTGACCCCTTGTGGGGCAAGCGTCCGCCAGCTCCAAGTAAGGGCACTCGTCTGAGTAGTGCCCCTTGAGATGCTTACACACCTCAATTAGGTCACCCCTTGCCCGTCTGTAGTATAAGCTAGGCAAGTTCAGGCGCTCCATTCTCTCAGGGTAGCTGAGGTGCTGAAGTGCAGGAACCAGTCTGGTGGCCCTCCTTTGAGTATTTTCAACCAACTGACAGCCCCAAGCATATCCCGGGGACCAGACGAGGTGACAGTACTCCAGATGGGGAAGCACTTCACTCTTGTAAGATAGTTACGAAGGACGGACCATCTAGATATAGTTAATATATAGGACTAACCCGCTGGCGTGCATAGCGCCGATGCGGCCATATCATCGCACGTCCAGAAAATGCCTCAAATTTCACCATGTCATAGTAAGTTCTTTCTATTTAATATTCCGGGAAAGTTAGGTAAGGTTAGGTAGATTTGTTTGGTTTGGTTGGTTAGGTCTGTTCTTCATAACCACAAATGTGAAGTAGCGTTTATTTAAAAAAATATCCGTTTTTTAACATACTTCCATAATCTACAACAGTGTCCACTATAATATAACAATGAAAATCCGGTATTTTTATAATTGTTTTCAATCAATCAATCAATCTAATATATATATATATATATATATATATATATATATATATATATATATATATATATATATATATATATATATATATATATATATATATATATATATATATATATATATATATGTAAAAGAACAAACACATCAAAATTACATAATCTACAGTATATCAGACATCATAAAACCTTGTTTTCTATGACAATGGACATGGACAATCTTCTGAGAACTTCAGAACAACATTAGAACCCTCAAACCTACAGGAAATACTCTGGGCTAGCCAAGAACATTAGCAGAGCCAACTTTTAATAGCAAGTGTCAAGGGTCAAGTTCTAATCACCGTCATGAACAAAAACCAGTGATTCATTGCCTGGCTTTAGATACACGTACTAAATGTTTATGCCTTAACCTCACCTCCCAGTACACTTTATAATAATTCTTGTCTTAGGCACAAGTGCTTAAAAAAAAAGACTGGTATACGCCACCATAACAGGGACTGACCTTTCTTAGGGAAGTGACGGAAGTGGCAGTAGGGACGATGACAATAGTCCTTGTCGTGGTCGGGGCAAGATATTCCACGAAAATACCCTGACGTAGGCAACATGGTGATTTATAAACACTGCTAGCTATAATTTAATTAGAGACTTGTGTTAACTAATGTTGCACAATGAGGATACAAATCATCCCACACAACCTAGTGTTTTGGTGTTGTTCTGCAGCCGTTCGAAGTCACTGAAATATTATAATTATTTTATTACAAATCCATTTATGGTTAACAGTTTACAATGTTATGGATAGTAAATAAATTCAAATTAAAAAACTGTATCCTCATATGCCACCATGTTCATTTATTTGATTAAAACATTTTCGAGGACTCGTGAAATCGACAAATAAACACAAGACTGACGCTTTCCGCACTACAAAAAACATCAGGTGGCGTCATGGCAGTTTGCTGCTTGTTTCATGTACTACACCTGTGTATCGATATACTACACTCTCATGACCAGATACCTTGTATATATATATATATATATATATATATATATATATATATATATATATATATATATATATATATATATATATATATATCATGTAGATCCACAATGGAAACGTGAATAAGATAAATCATGATAAAATCACACAGGAAAAAGGGGAACAATGGAGCACCATAGCTTTTTTCTTTATTCAAGACATCTTCAGAGGCAACTGAATTACAAGGACTGAGAGAGGCTTATGTACACAGGGTGAACCTCACAAAACATGAGGTCAGGTCAGATATATGACATCCACTACTCCACACACCAACACTACCGCAAACATAAGAGGAGCTTAAAAGAAGGGGCTACGTAACTCGTCATGATAAGTCAGGTAAAAAATATGAGACCCACTAATCATCTATCCTACATCTACCTCGAATGCTTTCAAAACATTTTTAACTTTGGGCCACTGACAAATAAATTTGTGTAACATATCAATTTGGTTCTGAACATCAATAAGGTTTATAGAATTCAATTCTCTAATCAAACTTGCTTCAACCAGACGTCTTTCTGTGCCACATGATGATTTATACACTTCTAAACTGTTTTCCCAATCTATGGGATGACCTCATGTCTTGTAAGGTCACCCTGTGTACATAAGCCTCACTCAGTCCTTGTAATTCAGTTGCCTCTTATAGCGAATAAAAAGTTATAAATACTCGGAGGCATCTCAAATATTGAAAGGATGTAAAACGTAAACCCAGACCATTTTTTCATGCACCACCAACACTTCTGTTCACTTTACATTATCTTACTCGCCACTGATCAGCGTGCTAACCCAAGATGTCACGCAGGAAATACCTTTTCACACGGGGAGTAGTTGAGAAGACCCATGGACGAGTTTCAATAGTGTATCAAGTCAAGTTGTAGAAATTCTGAGAGACAGTTTTATATTCCAACCTGTTAAAGATGTTATGTGGCTCATGAAAAGAGTTGACCAAGGTTCAACTATTGTTTGTTGCACATCAAAAAGCAACATCAACCATTTAAGTATTTACCTCCAGATACTAGTTTTCTGGCCTGAGGCTGACCAACTACAGTATAGTAAACAGGATGAAAATGTAAAGGATACGCAAATATCTTAGTATTTGTATCGTAATGACGTTACATAATTTGTATGGCGGTAGCTTCTTTGTTAATAATAATAAAGAAGTCAGTATTTATTTTTTGGGGGGTGGGGGAGAGAGAAAAGAAATACCAAATTGGTGTTGAGTGTTGTACTTCTGTGGCGTGAAGCAGCAAACAGTAGTCACCACACGCCACCCCCACTCCTCGCTGGCTCCTCTACTGCCATTGTTCCGTTTATCTGGTAACACTAGTAGGTATTGTCAGCTTGTTAAGACCTCAGATGAACGACGAGATCACCCTGCATGACCCCATAACCGATCTTTATCAACACTGTCCATGTACATGTTGAATCAATGTGAACTTGTATTTCGATTTCAGTCTATATATCTACCTATCTCTATACATTATATATCCCAATATCTATCTACCTATGGTAAAATACGAAATACTGTAGAATATCTATTATAACAGTTCTGTTATACGTCCAAATATAAAATGTATATTAGCATAAACTGATGCATTTCATATGTATCTTGTTATTAACCTAATGGCCCTAATGGTCACCCACTAGACTCCGTAGCAATGCCAAGGGAAGTAGACCAGTGGCTGGTGTAGGAGCCCTCTATTGTTCCCAATAATTTTAGCAATGTCTATTTTGAAGCCTAGGACCGCTTTTGATTCCACAGCTTGAGTTGGTAGACCGTTCCATAGGTCTACCAGCCTCTGTGTGAATAAGTATTTCCTTATGTTCGTTCTGCATGATAACTTGGTGAGGTTGAAGTTATATACCCTCGCATTGGTGGTGCGTAGCATGGCCAGGGTTCAAATTTTCCACCCCCTTCGAGATTTTGAATGTCTCAATGAAATCTGTCACATTGTGTCTTGTCTGAAGGGTTATTTTACTTTTATCTTTTATTAATTTTACGTTTATCTTCCTCGCCACTGATCGGCTCATTATGCTCCAGTGCTGGTCAAGTCTAGTCCCAGGCACTCAAGATGACAGAGTTCCGGAATCACCTTATGATAATTAATGGCCACTACATCTGTTACAAGTCTAGCCATAAGGTCATGTGGTGAAACAGAAAAGAACTTGCCTAAATTTGCACCTTTCCCTGAAATCGAACCCACAACACATGAGCTTCTGTAATCTTCAGATTGATTATAATTATTCATTCACCAAAACGTCATAAAAGTTCACTCAGATACCAGTAGGTGTAAGTACGAGTAGACGTAGATATACAACTTGTGGTAAACGATGAGCCGATATAACCAAGATATGACAAAGAAGCTGTTATAAATTTATTTACAATGAGATCCTAAGAAGGGTATTCCCAGTGGAAAACACGTTATTCCATTAATTTGTACACCTACACCATTTCATCCCTTTAATGAGAACCGTTCAAACAACCCACTGGCTTCGACTTGTGGCTCCATACAGAACGCCAGCCGTGCATTGACTGTCATTGTATCTTTACCTCTAATTTCCTACTATATACTGATCTCGTTAGTACATGTTAGTTAGCACAAGTCTTATGATTCGTATTACGCTCCACAGTCACTAAAACATGTAGCTATGCCTTCATTATTGAGTTCCCCATCTGAGGCGCTCGCTTTCTCCCTGTTTCATTACGCCTGAGTAATCCGTTTTCTCTCGAGTAGTGCCCAGACTCTAGTATTCCTTAGTATCTTATGTCAAGTTGTAAGATTTGAAATTGAAAGAGAATACCGATGTTCTGGAGTGATGTTGAAAGCTTCAACTGTATTTACTGTAAGTGAAATTGTCAAATAAGTTAGAGTAGAGTCTGCCAGTAGAAGTGACGAAGCCCTAACATCGTCTGTAGGGACGCCCTGAGAGCCAAATTGATACTGAAGTTAGATCATTTTGATTCCCAATCGTCAGAGAAACTGATGTTTGTATTGAAATTATTGTCAGTTTTATATTTTACAAAGTAATTAATATCCTGAAAATAATATGTCAGTCTTTTTATCTCTAAGATCAAACGGCAAACTCTCAGTAGGCCCTTGTCTAAATTTTGATGAAGTCGTAAGAAAGATGTTGTCAGCTTGTGCATTTGACGTTCATTTCACTATTACCTGGCAAGCTCAAACTCTGATTTGATTGTAACAATAGATGTAAGAAATTAATCTGACCCATGACACTGGTTTTCATAGCCAAATGTACAGCAGCTGATTTAAACGAAATGTATGTCAATGTGTGAATTGCCAGTTTGGATTACCTGAGTTGCCAGTTATCCTCGTATATAAAAGCGTGCGCGAGAGAGATCGTCACTTTTTGACGCTCCTTTTCTTCTTTTATCCTCTTCACCACTGATCGGCTCGTTAGCCGCTTGGGCGATCGGTCTCGTCTCTGTTACTTTTCCGCCCCCATCGTATCTCAGACACCTCGCACACATATTTATTAATAAGTTAAAGAAATAGAGATAAATATTACACCTCCCCCCCCGACCCCCCGACACTGAATGCGTCTGACAGGGCGCGCTCAGAAAAAAATGCAATCTTTAGTAAACCGTTGCACGAAAATGACAGAAAAAGTGCGAGTGTGACACTGCATGTACACATCTAAACGAATTTGATATTATTGCTACACATATGGTCAATTATAAGCAGCTTAATTAAGAAAATTTACATGTGAAATCATTAACGAATACAGATAAATTTGCATTCTCAACCAATATGGTCAAACACATTGCACAACTCAAAAAACAACCAATCTATCCTAGAATGAATACCTTAATTAGCAGCAGAGGGTCCAGTAACTGGCTCAAGAGGCTCGTAAAGGGCTGGTGGAGGTCGCATTTTGGTTGAAAATGCAAGAATACCCAATTACATTATCGTGGGAAAGGCAGTTGTTGGAAATTTGTTTCTTATGAGTGAATAAGACATGGGGGGGGGGCGTTAGGATGAAGGATAGACATATGTTTACCTTACTGATGACACACATGCTGAGAGTTCCCGGGGCGTACACCACATGCATGAGGCAGGAACGTATCTGGTCACGTTCAACTGCTTACACTTGGAGTACATGTAAGCACGTCGGGAAGTAAACATCTCCTCCATCTTCATCTTCTCTGTTTCGTTGTCTTCTGTTATCTCTCTCTCTCTCTCTCTGCTGGTGTCTCTCTCTCGTGAGGGTGTGAGGGAGTACGGATGTGAGGGTGTAAGGGAGTACGGATGTGTAAGGAGTATGGTACGAGTATGGGTGTAAGGGAGGGATGTATGGATGTGTGTGTGATGTGAGGGTGTGTGGGTGTGGGGGTGTGAGGGAGTATGGATGTGGGAGGGGTGTGAGGGAGGGATGGGTGTGGGGGAGTATGGATGTGAGGGTGTGAGGAGTGAGGGAGTATGGATGTGAGGGTGTGAGGGAGTATGGATGTGAGGGTGTGAGGGAGTATGGATGTGAGGGTGTGAGGGAGTATGGATGTGAGGGTGTGAGGGAGTATGGATGTGAGGGTGTGAGGGAGTATGGATGTGAGGGTGTGAGGGAGTATGGATGTGAGGGTGTGAGGGAGTATGGATGTGAGGGTGTGAGGGAGTATGGATGTGAGGGTGTGAGGGAGTATGGATGTGAGGGTGTGAGGGAGTATGGATGTGAGGGTGTGAGGGAGTAT